CATAAACCATCTGGCTTATTTTGGTGTGCAGCTCTATGCGGCACCAGTTTGAAGACGTCAATTAAGCGAATACGTGATACCTACTAGCTGATAGAACAGGAGTAGGCATATACTCGGACAGTATTGAAGTGGGAACAAAGCAACGAGGAGGAATTACCGCAGGACCTTACCCCACGAAACTATTTTTTTTCCTGTTCTCCACTAAACTGCTCTACTTTAGGGCCACTTATCACTACTACCAATGGACTTACTTGATGGCTTGCACATTCCCTCCTCTCCCAATATAGTTTTCTAACGGAAAGAAACTGCAGACCCCATGGAAGTGCCAAAAGAAATCAGTGACATTGCAGTCAGATATCGTCTCAGTTGTACGCGAATTCGATAACGAACACTATGGTTCGTGGATAGGTTCCATGCATTACCGACTACATTATAATGGCCAGGCTAGGCGCTAAGGATGACGCTTAAAACAGAAAAGGGGTTATGCGGGCAGTTGAGACCAGGCCAGTGTGCTATCACTGGTTGTCACTGCCTTCAAGCCATGGCGGTAGCCCCTCCAGCTCTACCGTACATTAACGATGGGCACTCTGCTCTAGTAGTATGACCTTGCTCGTCTTGGATAGGTCTCAGATAGTAAACTTTGCTTTATTAAGGCCTATCTAGCAATCTGCACGTGCCAAATTGCAGATCTGAGAAGTGTCTATTAGGAAAAAACACAAGCATGCCTATAAGAAAGTTCATTAACAAAAAAACCAACGATCAGACCAAACTGAGCATTTTCAATGCTACCGCTTGTCTTTATTATTTTTGGATCATTGTCGGAAGATTGACATAGCCAAAACTCACTTTAGGAAACTATTAAATAAGCATTTAAGGTATACTGAAAATATGCAAACTAATAATTCGTTGTCACCGAAAAACCTTTTATAAGATATTGTACTTTCACAATTCGCCCAGTTATTTTCGACTGGAGGATTGTGGATAGATATGTCCCATAGGAAATAGAACGCATTTCTATCCTATTGGGAGGTGTAATTCAAACTGCCTTCAAGCAACGATACATTCTTTTGTTCAAAGCTTGGTTAAAAGACCTGTGCATGAAACTACGCTCTAATGGCTCATAAAGACCAATAGAAAGGGCGAAATGGTGGGTCAATTAAACAATTGTATATAATACGGCTTATTCAGTATCCAAATAATTCATGACCTATTATTATTCATATGAAAACATCAGAAAAAAGGTGAAGTGAATGTAACTGTTTATATACATGCAATATAGAGCCCAAATAGGGGGGTTTTCCTCATAGTACCCTCTAATACTTGCCGCTGACTTTGACCTAGCAGAGCATGGTTCGTCGGCTGAACTTAAAGGCAGTTGTTAGAGCTTATCCACCTCACAAAAACAGAAGTTTCTCCTGAGACCCTCGCTTATCATTTAAAGAGGGTGCGGTAGCTAAACGAATCGTAAAGATGCAACTTAAGAATGTGATTTCCTAGTAAATCATCAAAAATTAGAGGCATCATTTGAAAAGATAACAATGAGGAATCACTTATTCCTTCTTAATGAATTTCATCCAGATTACTACAATTAGGAGGAAATCCTAGTAGCAAATAATGGGAGGGGAAATAACACGAATCCTTCATTTCGACATTTTCTGAGATTGGAAGTGGAGGAAGGTACGCACACGAGTCCCACTTAAATGGTATGCATGGGGTGACGCCAATATGCTTCAATGACTATTCACTAATATGTGCCTCATTTTTTCAATCATTTTATAAAACAACAACATGTACTTCGAAATGCTGTCCAGCTGGCTGACTGCTTGACTTTTTGATTTACTTGCGGTGAGAACTGGTTTTACGTGACCCACCAACCGCGACAAAAATCCAAGGCATGCAACACCTCACCTTCAGGAGACTATACTTGCCATGTTTTCATATGAGCGTGGAGGACTGTAAATGGAAACGCAAATGTTCACAAAGGATGGTTTCCTCTTGAAGAAGACCAGCTAATTAGGGCTGACGTCTTGATGCCATTCCAAAGTATTAATAAACGGCGCCTTCTTCTCCTCATGCTCTAGCAACAGAAAGAACAGTCAGAACTAGCCGTGGGTTAGTAAAATGAAGGTCCTACTGTTAATCTTACGTCTGAAAGAATAGGAGCTTGCGTTTGAGGACTTCACACATCACAATTAACCCGAGAGAAAGATGCGTTTGGGTGTAGCGAGCGTTACATTCCTCTGCATTCCTTCGTATTCACCTGATGATGTTTGTCCAAGTGATGATTATCACCTTGGAATTGGCAATGGAAATTTGAATGTAGTTGCATACGAAACAGACAGTTTAGAATTAACGCTGATACAAAAGCAAGGCTGGCCAGAGCTAGACGTTCACCCGAATTTTAGAGGTGAAACAGTTAATAGAGAGCTTGTATCTCCTTGAAAACCTTTAAGATAACCTTGGACAGGTATTGAATATTATTATAATCCATGCAACAGTTGACTTATGCTGTACTGTTCGATCCCCTCTCGCCTTACTTTAGTCCTCACAATGTCGGACCCCAGATCTGCTTACATCGTCAACGTCCTTGACATAACCATGCATGGACTTATACGCCTCGTTATGCTTGTCGCCATCGATGTACCTCCATTCGAAGGCCTTTTGTGATATTTCATAAGAGGCTAAACCATGCATGAGAAGGGACAGACGAGAAGTGACAGCATCCAACGGTTGAGACCACAGACTTACTTGAGGACACCTGCCTAAATCAAGTCAACCGATGGTCAGTTTTTGATTCTCTAGTTCTACCTAACGACATGAGAATTTAGTCAGTCAAAACAGCTCTGAAACATGTGGTCTGTGTAGATCTAGTGAGCAACTTGGGAGAAGCACCTCATCCTCTCATTCGTTACATGATCGCTTGGTTGCTTTTCTAAATGCTAAAAACCAAAGACAAAGTGTTCAACATTATTTCTTTACTCAAGAATCATTTAATTACATTGCGATCAGAATTTTCTTGGCATTCACGGGGAAGGAAAATATGTAGTACTGGGGTTTGGGATGGGATTTAACCTGTGGAGGAAAAAGAAGTCGGTAATGCTGCACTTCTCCTGCCACCGAGATCATAAATTCGGGATGGATGGGCTGGCCCCAGCGAGGTGACATGCCTGCCATACCTCCTCTCCATCCCTCACCATGTTCTCTAAGGTCATAAAACTTATTCATCATCGCCTAGATGTTATCAGGTAGTGCCAAACGGATTGACAAGCATACATCATCCACGCGCGTTGGCACATCTTGCCCCAAACTGTCATCTGAGAGGGAATGATTAAAGTTGTTTTAAGTAAGCAATTTTTAATTACCTGTAATGTTCACTCTGAGTGCAAAGGTACAGAAAAGTTGCTACGCAAGTAGCGGAGAGTCATGTCACCAATGAGAGGAACTAGAATAATCCACATGATGGTAAAAAGTAACTAGAAGCTGCGGCAGCCAAAACAGTGATCCCATTTTCAACCACCCTTTCTACTTCATTCTTCTTTTATAATTCTTATATTCACCTTCCAGGAAGATGCATCAGACTTCTTGATTCAATCCATCCTTTAGTACATGTGCAGTTATTTCTTCTATGACGCTTTACTAATTCTTTCCAATCGAACTAAAGATTAAGTTGAGGAACCCCCCTCTGAAAGATGACCTGAACTCTGGCCTGTGGACAGTGTCAGAATTGATGGGAACGTCTCCAAGAGTGCGTTAATTATTAACTCTACAATTTCAGTTACATAGAGGAGGTTTATGTCTACAGAATTAACAATTGAAGAAAGCAGCTCTTTCGTCATCAAATTCTCTCCCTAAAGAGAATGCAACAGGGTAGTAGGATATGCTTTGAAGGGTCCTAGTGATGGAAATTAGGCAACTGCCAAAAGCTTCTTAAAGTCTCTTTTTTTTGGGAGACCGAGGCTGGCGAAGCCCATATATGTCTGGAAATAGGCAACCTTGTTCTACCTCTGGGTTCAGCCATCTGCGTGTTCACCTTGCTTTTACATTCCAAAAGACTCTTCAAGCTTACAAGTGAGTATGCAATTGTCTAACGCAAATATCAAGAAAAAAGTGATAGTCACTTATGCCCCTTTGAGCTTTATCGTTTCGGGTAGAGATATTTCTACCTCTACTGGCATTTAGAAAAGATGGAAAATCGAAGCCTGGCCAGTCCTATCTCCTAACTGTTTGTCTCTTTCGTAAGTGGCTACCCAATACCAATTACAAGGGGAAGTAAGGTCCTAGACATGGAAATACATCAACATTTGAGGGAGCATTTCCTTACCACCCTCAAAGTTAACTTTACTTACGGGGCATTTTGAGTTGTTTTTCAAGGCGATGGCTTTCTTTTGGCTCTACTCTTCGCTACTCCGGCGGTTTCTGAAGAAGTTGCTCTCCCTTGCGTTAGGATTACATTTAGTTGTTTAAAGACTTAAGCTACAATTTTCCAAACCTCTGTAATAAATTTCCTTTAAAGTCCGCCACATAAATAAAACATGCATAGTCAGCTTAGAAACAAGTGGTGTAGGAAATGAATAGGTTTGATGGGAAATAATCAGGGATACGCTGCCTTCGTTTACAAAGCTTTTTACCTTAGAAGTAGGTTTTAGGACAATTTGGTTAGCATACTACCCAGAAGAACACAATTTCCTAATACATGTAATAGAAGTGAAAAAGAATTGGCTCATGGCTTTTAAAATTTACTGTCACTTGGCATATGGATTGGCGTGGACGCAGATAAATAAAACTAAATGCCGCTTAAAAAAATCACTTCAAACCTTTTTGACACGGCACTCTTAAATTAGCATAATGTAGAGTTAAGTAAATTATCGCCAGATGGTATGCTTTGAGAGTGGTAAGAATCGACAACTTTGCAATCTGGTAAATCTTGGTTCGTAAAACAGACAAGATGGGATTGCAACCAGCTGGTTTGACCAACACTTTATAAGATGAGAATGTGAAATAGCGGGGGAATAGTAGAGTTTTGTGAGATGTGCCGACAGATGGGGTATAAATACCAACAATGGCGTACACTTGACAGGTTTCAACCAGTTGCGACAAGTGACTAAGGCGAGCCACACCGACACACAAGCGATTTTTTCTCAGGATGTGGGCTTGCAACAACACAGATCGGTGGAATAGTCGCTTGCATTGCCAAACTTCTTCTCTAAACAAAACATTGCTTTCATTCAATCAGTTTTAAACTGACATCCGCCACTTAAAAATTTTTAATAATTAATTCCTGCTAAACATTTCTTAAAAAAGAGCCAACCTAAACCGGTTCCGAAATTGGAATACACTGGAGCATCAAGAGGCCTGCAAAAGGCACCGAATATCCATGGCGAAGTGGGAACAATGCAAGCACACGAGCCTCCTTACATGCAAGCACAGTGGACGCCGCTGCTAGGCGAGAATTAACACTTTTCATTTCCGAGCGAAGACAACGAAATAGTGATGGTAAATTGGTTGGGCAGAAACTTTTGTCTGTCTTTGTGAAGATATTTTATACCTAATTGCTGCATCCTACCAAAATACGTTATTGTTGACACTGAGTAGAAAGTTTACTGGGTAGATGGTACGTTCCCTCCTTTTTTCAAGTGACGAGATAATCACACCGTCATGTGAACCCAAGGACAGTTAAGAGGATGTATAAAAGTGGAGAAATTAGACCCAACTAATGAGTTATTATTCATACGTTGCCTAGAAAAGCTGACCACTAGGAAATTCCGCTTAAAACAAGATACCACAGAGGTATAGATTGGCAAACATGATTAGCCATTAATTTTAAGTGCATTCTTAGCGCCTTTTAAACTGTCTTTATTAGGCAAAAGTGTTGAAAAATAGAGAAATGCACTTTGTCGTCGAATATCATTTCCCCTGTGGAGTCAATAAAGAAAAATCGCTCATAAGTTTGATCAATCACTTTGACAGTTCAGTGAAAACTGGCTAGGTAGGCGTGAGGTACGATCGAAAGCCATGGTTGCACATTAGATAAATGACATGCAAGCTCAAACTGCGCTAAAGAAATCTTATGGAGGGCAAGCGGCTCAGCCCGATGGATGGATGGATGGATGGACGAGTGGATGTGTATGGATCCATGGACGAGGAAATGGATATGCGATGAATATATCTATTCATTCACCCCACTGGAAGAGGAAAAATATACGTTTTTATGCTCTACTCTTATTGAACGTTTTCTTTGTAAATTCCGATCGCCACCTTTCAAAAATTCCTCTACTTGACTAAAGTGTCATTACTGCAGACCATTTCAACTCAAAATGGGCAAATAACCGTTTAATGGGGCTTCCTAAAGACTCGATCATTCGAATTAGAATTTTGCCCTCTTTAATTTTCTACAATGGAATACCCTTATAAGCTGGCAAAATTTTTTATTTATTCGGAAATAAAATAATACAAAGATAATAAATTTTGTGGAATGACTCAGTGTCTAGAAAGCCTCGTTTCAGTTGATAAAAGTACTTGCGTGCATGATAATAATACCGAGTTATTTATCACTCAGTTAACAAAGGCCAGGGTGGAGATGTGATGAGGATGCTTTGCAACTATTTAATCAGCATGCCCCCAGAAGGGTATAATTATTCCAACTTTAAATTACAGAACAACAAAGCGAATGGAATGCGGAAAATCAAAGGCACTCTGTACATCTCCTGTGTAGACTAATTTCAAAGTAGGGCTTTACAGGAGTATAATTTAAATTACAAACTTAAACAGTCCGATTCCTCGCTGGTTTCTTTGAGGTAAATGTCTTCAGAAAGGGGGGATGGTTATGTTGTTTGGACAATTAAAGTCAATTGATGGTGATCTAGTGTTAATGAAACGCACGTTTCAGTCAGACTAGCCTCATCCTCAATGTCAAAAAGTCAAAAAGAAATGTAAATGCACATTTTTAAAGATTATTACTTCAGACGAAATCCTGGTTATGATCCTACTTGGTGCCCTCGTTGTTAAATTCCATCCAGCCTTCGTACTCCCTTCTCACCCGTGAATGAATCACTTATTCATAGTAAAATTGTCATAATTGTTTTGTTAGCGCAGATGAAAGGCCAAAAACGGCGTAAACAATGCACCTGCGCCTGTGATCTCCTGAAATTGGTCCAGACCGCATCTGTATTATTGTTAGTCAACCACCTTATTGGCAATGTGGTAGGGTGAGGTGGGGAAAGAAAAGGCTGGATGATAAGCTTTTAATGCTTTTTCTTCTCAATTTTCATAATATGTATCCGCCCGCCTAACTCCGAGCCCGTTACCTGTAACAATGGGAGAAAAGGCCTCCCTTTTTGATAATAAAGTACTGTTTTACGAGACAACTGGTGACTAAGGCTCGGGGTTGTTGTCAATCCTCCCCTTGTCTGTATGTACTGATAAGGGGAAAATAGGGCACTGGCATACCACAAATTAAAGAATTAGTTTGTTTTATTTTAAAACAACTTCAGTTCTCGTCTAGTATTAAAGAAAGGGACTAGAAAATACAGGCTATCATTTGTAAACTGATCCAATGAGTGCTGGCATGTCCATCTCAGCAAGGGAGTGCGATGTAGAAGTGGAATGCTCACTACTGCAGGTTTCAAAATTGTTTTCCTCTGTTTAAATTGAGGAATTCACAAAGCTTT